CCCTCCGGCACACGGCTCCAAAGTCTCTTCCTACAACCGGGAGAAGCCCCTGCCTCCCACCCCGGGACAGCGACTGCCCGTCAGCAGGGACGGGCCCCCTGCCCCACCACCCATCAAGCCCCCTCCTTCCCCAGTCAGTATCCGAACGGGGTCGGGGGCTCAGGGCCAGTCTCTCGCTCCCCCGCCGCCTCCTTATCGGCAACCCCCTGGTGTCCCCAACGGCCCTTCCAGCCCCATCAACGAGTCGGCCCCGGACCTCCCGCAGAGACACAACTCCTTGCACAGGAAGGCGCCAGGCCCGTTGCGGGGTCTGGCACCACCACCACCCGCTTCAGCCTCTCCGTCTCTCCAGAGCAGCTCTCCCCCTCCCCCAGCCCGAGACCCCCCCAGCCGCGGAGCAGGTAAGAGCCGTGGGCTCTGCTGGGCTCATCTTCAGCGTAAATGGGGTCAGCCGTGGTGGGTCAGGCTGTGGACACCTGCCCGCGGGGCATTTGGGGGCTGGTAGGAGATGCTGGGGAAGAATCAGCACTGGGGCACAGCCAGGCTTCTGCACGTAGGGGTTGAGCCAGGGGCAGTGGCTGGGCTGTTACCCTCGATGCGTGTCCCCAGTCCTGTCCTTTATCCACCTCCTTTCACACTGGGTGTTGGTGGTGGGTTGTGGCTGGGCAGCTCCTGCCTGTGAGGTTGGTGTGTCCTCCTGAGCGAGAGAGGTGAGAACGTGTTAGAGGCAGAGCTGCATATGCTGCAGCTGCTCCCCTGAGCTTCCTGAATGTCACTGGGGTGGTGACAAAAAGCTGCAGCAGAGCGGGGAGAAGCCTTTCCCTCAGCTCTGCAGCTGGATGCCCTTGCCCAGCCCTGGGAGCCATCCTGCCCCTCTCCAGACTGGTTCTGGTGCTGTGTTGCTCAGAGCAGAGCTGGTGATGGAGGCTCTGGCACTGCCGATGCTGGGGTTTTGGTGTCGGGCACCCTTCAGAGGGGTGGCTTGGTGAAAACTACCCACCATTTCCCCCTCGTGCACATGGAGCTGGGTATGAGCTTGTCCCTGCTGCCGGGTGCAGCGGTGGCTTTGCCCTGGTGCCCCCCCCGTGTGCTCTTGGGCTCCGTGTCCAGACCGCAGCTCCCGCCTGGTTCCCTGCCAAGCCGCTCTGTCCTTCCGGCCTTGCCAGAATCCCTCCTTCGAGCTACAGCTGGGGATCTGCTCTCTTAGTCTGTGTGTAATTAGCTTAATGCGGAGCACAAACTGCCACTGTGCATCCGTGGGAGGCTGGGCAGGAGCAAGAGGTGGGTCAGATGGGCCACCTCACCACCTCAGTGGCAGTGTGGACGTGGCTCCTCGGCCCTGGCAGGCAGCATCTTGCCTCCCTGGGGAGCTGCTGCCCTCAAACTGCTGTGTGCAGCTCCTAACTGCTCCTTGGATCCCCTCTCGTGCAGGGGTGACCTGGGTCTGGCCGTGGGCTGGGGCAGGAGCAGCCACACGGGGTGTGGGCAGCGGGCTGGGG